GCGAGACTGATAGGTCCTGGGTTCGAATCCCACGAGGCAGGGTCATGGATGCGCACTGCCAGAGAGGAGTCCCACAATAGGACGAAACGGCCGTCCAGTGCTTTTAAGTTTTCCATGGTGATCTAGGTACAAATGAATGATGATCTCAACTGTTGAAATAATATTAGTTACTATTCAATGATTAATTAAATTATTAAATATTTCAATCTTATAAAAAGTTATCTATAATCTAAACAGCTCACTAGTAAATTTAAAGTTAAATAATATAATTTTTAATATATCAATTGTTTTGAGATTGTAAGTTCATCTTCTTGACATGCATCAATTCGTTCTGTAATTACTTATTAACTCTTATTAATCGTTTAATCAAATGAGTGAATGTCATAAAATGAATACTAAATCATCTATTTTTTTCTTTTTATTGAAGCAGAATGTGAGAAATAAACAAAGAAACAGACAAATGACCTAATGGTACTTTTATGCTAATAATGTTATATTCTGATGAGAATAATGAATGGTAACTGTTAGAATCTATTTCTTGACAAATAATATCAATATATTTTTATTATATAATTGTCAGGTAACTAAACTATGCATATTCATATTCATCTTATTATAGGCTTTGTTTTGACCTATGAACTATTACTATACCATTCACCATTCTTGAGTTATGCCTAGTCTTTCAATTACAATCTCCCACATTCACAGCCACTTTTGGCTAATTCTTGTACAAATGTTGTTTCCTATTTTATGGTACGATGTGGTCTGCTTGATTGGTATATAAACAGAGTATGTTTGAAATACATGATTCATATCGCAGAGGCTGAGACTGGTGTTTCAAACTCAACAGGTAGGGCTAGGCAAGAAGCAGAACCGATAAAGACTCTAGACTGTTCGTACAGGTTTATGCGTCATTGGTCTGGTCGATAAATCACTGTTCTCTAATTGGCGGTATCATTACATTATACATTGATAGAGGCACAAATCCACAAGTTATAACAAATAAAATTTGAGATATTTTAATTTAATGTAATTTCTAGACTACACTTCAGAAAAACAAGCTACTTGAGTCTGATATATATTTTTAGCTAAATTTTGCTATTGACAAAATGACCAACATCTTTTTACTGCTACTAATTAGTTATACCATTAGAAATGTAAATTACTCAAAACCATTCAGCTAAGAGAACAAAACTCCACCAAAATCATCCACCTGAGCTACAAATCTTCTCCACTATCTCAAATTAAGTGGTACGGTTAATTAAAGCTTTGTCTTTTTTTTTCTACCTCAAGTCAATAGATTCAGTGAGTTTCAACTACTTAAGATTGCTTATCAGTATGCTAATCAGTATCTATAAAGTTTCTTTTTACTTAAAACGATCAAGCATCAAACTGTCGTTTCAATGAGTGCACTTAAGCTATTCAAGATTTTAATGACATCATAATTGTCGATAATTAATAATTTAAACTGTAGGAAGTAGTTATCAGCACAAACTAGTAGAAACAATAAACCGTTAGATAGCTGTTTCATTATAGGATAAAATACCTCGGCAATGTTTATCCACCTAACTAAATGAAATCAATCTTAGAACCATCAAGTAAAACCAAAGGCGCTATGTCGTTAATAAATGAGTAACAATTTATTGATCTGTATTTTTAACTTCAAATAACCGGATCCTTAAGTGAAGTTAACAGTAGGTTACTTTCTCAACTCTGATCTAGTTAAAAGATGTCTTGATTATTTTGAGGTGATTCTACATAAAATCGTATGTGTGTATGGCTTGAAAATCTCAAAATAAAAGTAAACAGCGTGAGGCTATAATTTATGGACGAGCCAATCACGTATAAGAATAAAGGTCTCAGATTTTGGAACGAAATTCACCCATCCATTTAGCTAAAAAGAGTTTTGGCATTATGGCTTAGGTCAGCTCGTGAAGAAAACCCTAAATCTAATTTCTAACCTTAACCATCAACTTTAAATCATAGTTCTAATTTCTCATACAGGTTTATAACCATCATTTGGTTCTAGTTATTAGATGAACATTCTCAAGGTCACTGTAACGTCGCTCAAAGGTCGTCTATAAATTATATTCTCACCGTGAACATTTCCTTACTGCTATCTGGCTATCAAGAGTCGTATATCAAATACAAATTCATGATTTGAAACCCTATATCTAAATTAAAATTTCAATGAGTGATTTCACTTTAATTTAAAGATGTAAAATGATATTAAGATAATTGTGTTACTTAAATAATCAATGATTGATACCATTGGTCTGTTGACTTCTTGGTATATTCTAAAAACGGCTGGTCAACGGAACTACAGTCAAAGTGTAGTGAACAAGAACATCAATGGGGACAATCGACTAAATTTGACAGGAAATTACAGAGGATCTCACTAAAATTTGAGAACCATATAGTAAATCGTTAATTTGCATAATATCAATCCATCAAATCAAACTTGACTGTTCCTGTTGCAAACATCAATCCATTGTCTCAAATTTCATTGTTCATGCATTTTCATATCAACTGTGTTCCGTTCTCACTCTTTCCTCACTGACCTTCTACTGAAATATATTCTATGTCTGATCACCATTATACACTACTTATATGGACATAAGTAACCCACGCCACAATAGTAAATAACTAAATAATTGAAAATCTCATTTACCTACCTGTATATACTTATAAATTGTAAATCAATTAACTTTGCTTCCTAGCAATACAAGAATGATGACTGAGATTGAATTAAAATTTGATTCTAATTCTCTTACGAATCAAGTGAGGCTTTGAAGTGAAATATTCTGACCATCTTTTTTCTATTAATTCTAAATAGTTTAGTTACTAATTAATATAGTTAGATCCCATTGGATTATTAACTTTTAGCATTGTCTCTCTGTGGTCTTTGATCAATAACTTCTAGACATTTTGTGGATTTTGCTCAATTTGGGAACGAATGATTTATTTCTAACATTTATCTAATCCTTACTACTGATTGAATTCTGTCGATTAATTTGCAGTGTGATTAGTAGTCTTAAGGACTCAAACTTGAGTAAATCGTGTTGAGATGGTAGGTGGTTGAAGATAGCTGGAAATAGATCTTGTCATACATGGCATTTGTCAGTAAGAAATGTTTATAATTTTGATGAGACTGACGTTCTTAGTGGAATTCGAATAGTTACTTCTTTCAACAACCTAAAATTTCAGCATAGGGTAGACGATATCGAGTGATTTAGACTAGTTGCCACATTGCAAATTAATTAGTAGGATTCGATATACACTAAGAATCAGACAAACATGATACTAGTCACTACTCATTGATCAATCATTGGCAAACATCTTAACCCTATAATAAGTCAGCAGCAGACCGGGTAGCTCAGAACTACAATCTGATGAGCCGAGGCTGGTCTACGTGTGTTCGGATCTTAAAGGAAATGCTAGTTCCCAGATGTTAGTGAGGACACCTTGCTCTTCAGTAGCAATTACCATGAAATCGAGGTCTATGATTTCTTGCCAACTAACGTCAACCACTCGACATATATATATATATATATATATATATATATAATCTGTTGTGACTTAAGTCATAAACATGGGAAATTATAAAAAATAGAGTGGTTTACTGCTACTCACTTTGTCTGTTACCTTTTCATACTTTCATGATTTAGACAGTTTTCGACAGGAAAATCTATTATTCCATTTTGATCATTCCATGAGGCTCAGATCAGTGTTTAGATCACTTTGTTTTAATTGGTGAGAATTTATAGAAAAACATTTGTATGAAATGCCTTTTACATACTTAGTACCAAGATCATGTGGAATTACTTGCTTAAATCTGAAGAAAAGCACGGATAAACTATGTTCATACATAATCAGTTAGAATAAATGTATACGTGTTAGCAGTCGCCCAGTTATTCAGTAATATGCAACACAAAACCTGGCGCATATGAGGATTGATTCAACTCCCCACATCACAACACAGCGAGATAAGATTATAGAAGAAATTCACAGAGCAGTTATAGAAGCAATATCAGTAGTAGTGGAACGATTCGGTCTAAGAAAAACACAAAATGTATGAGGGGTATATCCTAAAAAGAACTGTTACCAGAATCATTTAGATACATAAAATTTTTAAAATATCCTAGTGATTCTCTTAAAACCCGCAAAACAATTGAGCTACCTACTGCTACGTTCCATTTAATTTATACATATACATATAAACTACTTTTAAGTAGTACAAGTGTCTGTAACAAAACAATCGGCCTCCAGTTGATTAATACACAAATTAACATGAAATTGGTCAGCTGAAGGTCGCACATCTAGTATGACAGTTTTAGACCACTTTGATTTTAGAATCCAACATTTCACACAAAATAATTCAAGTCACTTCTTAAAATTATCTGATAAGCATAAAAAGTTATAGCTGATATCCAATTCATTTAAATAAATTAGACAAATTTCCATAAATAAAGTCAATGACTACATTGATGATGAGAATGAAATTCAACATAAAGATTTTTAAAAAATATAGGAAAAATCACTTTTAATCAAATTCAACAATTTTTAACTTTGAATGGACTAATAATCATTCTCACAATGGGTTTTGTGGAGATTTTAGAAATTCCACTGATTGAAATCATGAGTCAATTGAAGCTAGACCACCATGGAAAACCTGGGAGCATTGGATGGCCTTTTCGTCCCGCTGCGGGACTCCTCAGCAGTGCGCATCCACGATCCCGCACCCCACGAGATCCGAACCCAGGAACTATCAGTCTCGCGTCATGCGCTTAACCAACTAGACCACTGAGCTGGCCAGCATCCAACGGTGTTAAGGTCTAACTTCAACCAATCCACGAAGTTGCGCCACCGTACACACGGGACTGATAGGTCCTGAGTTCGAATCTCGTGGGGTGCGGGATCGTGGATGCGCACTGCTGAGGAGTCGCATACTAGGATGAAACGGCCGTCCAGTGTTCCCAGGTTTTCCATGGTGGTCTAGCTTCAATCGACTCATGATTTCAACCTGTGTAATAGTCATTCATTAAACCATAGTATCAATTTGTTTGTAATTCCCCCTGGAGCCCCTCGGGGGCTACTGCCGGTCCCAAAACCGGATAAAAGAGGAGGGTTGGGCGTGGGGTTAGCAACCTCACCCCGTAGAAAAATAAATCGCTGAAAAAAACACTAACCAACAATTTATTTGTACAACTTAACAAAAACACTATATTCATTTCAGATATTCTATAAATTATCATTAAAAATAAAAGATGTAACTAATCTATTTACGTTATTTTTCTACTCATTTTCATTTTATTATCCTAAAACTATATATTTCATTTAGAGTATATACCATGTAAAATGTATCAAATTACAGCTAATAGGAGGCAAACTTAAGATAGGCAAATAATTCCAGTCAGTAGCCTATGCTCCATTGGGAGTAAAAGGTGTAAGTAAGTAAATGAAAAGAAAAATGAAAGAATTTTTCTTATAATCAGTTACTAAACTGTAATTAACTTTTTTTAAATGGATTATTCGTTCAAATACATTGAAACTATTGTAGTCCTGTGACAGTTTTACTTTTCTTTATGTGTTCCTCACTTTACTTCCAGTAAAGATTCTCTTCGATAGATTATTTCTTCTTTAAATTAATCGTTTCATAATTTACCTTGTAGTTAGGGAAAATAGAAAGGGGAAACAATAAACAAACAATTTTACACATGAAAGAAGAAATTATATTGATAAAAGTTTCAGTGATTAAAGTTGAAAGGAAATCAATATTTCACTTGGTAGTCTGTTTTAAGCTATGCCGTTGAAAAAGGACTATTTAATCTATAAAGTTGAATAACTTATTATAGGTAAATGATGATTAGAAATATGATAACAGTTGATGATGTAATATATAACCTGCAGTTGAGACTATGTGAGAATAGCGTGAAACAACTGGTTGATAAATGCTATTCAAAATTATACTAACCAATTTCCCGGTGAATATCTAACCGTAATTTATATTTTCGTTTTTATTCCTCTTTCTAACAAATCAGTCAGTCAGTCATCTACAACGTAGGACCAGGCACATATATGCATCGGTCCAAGTTGCCATACCTCATTAACACAACAAGATGAACACCGGATTCATAAAGGTAGTAATTCAGTTGTGGCAATATATAAAAGAAAGATTACAATAAGGATATAGTACAGGGAGAAAGAATTAGTTCGTAGAAATAAAGATATGAAGCGATTTGAATCTCGTAGTTTAAAGAAACAGTGTATACACCTACACCATTGTGGTCGATTCTGAGCCATGTCACCAGGAGTCTCCAACCATTGGTTACGATAGTTGCGCGGATCCTAACCAAGTAGTCTGCATCAATCAACATGGCTCAGACTACAAGTTAGTGACTTTGTGAACTGATACCACCTTTTGCTTTGGCCTTCCCCTAACTTTCTTCCAACCATCTCCAACACCGGTTAGCATTGCACGTCGTGGTAATCGGTGTTCAGGCATACGTAACACGTGGCCCAACCATCTCAGTCGATGAAGATTCATAACCTCATCAACTGATTTACCATCATTCCCTAATACCCTGCGTCTAACCTCACTATTACTTACCCGGTGATCTCAGCAGACGCCAGCAATATTTCTAAGGCATCTGTGGTCAAATACTAGTAGCTTACGAGTGTCTTCTATTCTTAAAGGCCATGTTTCGCTGCCCTAAATTAAAACAGAACGGACTACCTTGCAGTATACTCGTCCTTTTATTGATAGACGGATATCTCGCCTTCGCCAAAGGTGACGTAAGTTGGCAAAAGCCAAACGAGCTTTTCGAATCCGTGCTGAGATTTCATCAGACACCAACCCATTAGGGCTGATCAAACTTCCAAGACAAGTGAAGTTGTCAACGCGTTCGACTACTTCACTCCCTATCCTTAGTTCAGGTGTTGACACAGACCAGTCCTGAATCAACAACTTGCATTTAGAGGGAGAGAAGCGCATTCCAAACATTCTGGCATTGTTGCTTAGTGCTACCAGAAGACTGTGCATTTTATCAGTGTTATAACGTGAAAAATGATGCTGCTGATTAAGGGTAGCGAATTATTGATCGGACCAAAGACGCACAAACACGTAGAACGACCTAGGGTTCTGATTGGTCTCGCCTCCCTATCTAACCCAGCCAGTTGAGTCCAGAACACAAGTGACAGCCTCAGAGATATGAATCCTTGTATTTCAAACATACTTTGTTTATATACCAGTCAAGCAGACCACAACGTCCCATAAAATAGAAAATAACATTGTACAATAATGGCCAGTAGGAAAATGACACGTTAAACAAATATTCACCAATAAGATGATACCATTTCATGTCCAAGGATAACATTAGGCTTAACAGGATAATTCTTGGGATATTTTCCTGAATATCCCAACACCTCCCTTTTTTGGAGATCCGGAGTTGATGTCCGGATTTTAAATTTTTTTCCGCGTCCATCCTCCCCCGCGAAATAATGTTGGGTCTTCATAAACCCAAATTACAATTAATTTGATTGTATTTAAAACATATTGCACAGGGAATCCAGTAAAATCGATCAGATATTGAGGATAAACGCCATCCAATTCGAAGTCATCAGGGTTTAAATCTTTAGTAAGTAGTGGATCATTATGATAATCGGCGTCCAACAAAACTGTGCCAGGTTCTTGGTTATTATTTGATGCGTGGAACACATTTTCTGGCAAAACAATGAGATCTTCTCGTGAGCTGGATATGTTACTGTCTGCACATGCTGTTTCGGGGATGATGGAGTTTGACTCCATTACCGGGCATGTTTCTGGAATAGAAAGTACTGGACCACTGGGCGCATCATGGATGACTGTTTCGTTTGAAGTACAGTTCATCGAGGATTCATGGAGGCTGCTGTCATTTTCCAGCTCACTGTGTATTTGAGATATCAATCCATCCACTTCCGTCGCGTCTTCATAGCATGAGTGATTTAGCAGCTGCGTGCGGAATTTGACTAATAAGTCCAAATGTCGTTCAAAGAGCAGCTGTAATCGATCGGAAGGGAGAGTCATTTTTTTGAATCAGCACCTGTGATGAAAATTACTGTATGACTAATGTCCAATGTGGTTCAAGGACACTGATGACAATCTGGATACTGATTGGTTGAATAATTAGACTGGATTTCGTCCAATTACAGAATGACTTTGGATTGTATCTTTTCTTCACCCCGTCGCCAATTGTTATAACGTGAAAATGATGCTGCGGATTAAGGGTAGGGAATTATTGATCGGACCAAAGACGCACAAACACGTAGAACGACCTAGGGTTCTGATTGGTCTCGCCTCCCTATCTAACCCAGCCAGTTGAGTCCAGAACACAAGTGACAGCCTCGGAGATATGAATCATTGTATTTCAAACATACTTTGTTTATATACCAGTCAAGCAGACCACAACGTCCCATAAAATAGAAAATAACATTGTACAATAATGGCCAGTAGGAAAATGACACGTTAAACAAATATTCACCAATAAGATGATACCATTTCATGTCCAAGGATAACATTAGGCTTAACAGGATAATTCTTGGGATATTTTCCTGAATATCCCAACAATCAGAGTCTTCACCAAACAGGACTATGTCATCCGCGTATTCTAAGTCGATAAGTGGACCTCCTGGAAGGAGATCAATACCCGAGAATTTAGTCGACGAGAATGTTATTTCCATCAGTAGGTCTATGATGAAGTTAAACAAAAATGGAGAAAGTGGACAAATAAATGTATTGATATTATTTAAAGCCATTAAGTTTGCGCAAACTATAAAATTCTTATCATTTTTCAGTATATTTAATATCTTCAGTCAGAATAACTCAAGTGAAACCAAACTTGAAAATAACAAGTTAAAAGTAAATTGGCAATAATATTCTGGTAAATCCAACAAAATTGACATCACACAATTTTATTTTATATGTTGCAGGGACAAACAATGTCTCCAGTCCATTGGGTCAAATGTTATGTATGCCTGACCACCGTTTACTATGGCGCGAAATGCTAACTAGTGTTGGGGATGGTTGGAAGAAAGTTAAGGGTAGCCAAACTAAAACGTGCATCAGTCCACAAAGTCACTAACTTCTGATCTGAGCCATGTTGGTAGATGCAGACTATTTGGTTGGGGTCCGCGTGACTATCGTAACCAATGGTTGGAAACTGTGTTTAACATGGCTCAGAATTGATCACAATGGCATATGTGTATTCACTCTTTGTCTTCCCTTAAACCATGAGATTAAAATTGCTTTATACCTTTTTTTCTACAAACTAATTCTGTCTCACTGTATAGTATCGTTATATGCAATATTTTTTATATATTACTACAACTGAAGTGACTACTTTATGAATTTGGTGTTGATATTGTTGTACTAATGAGGTGTTGCAACTTGAACCGATGCATATATGTGTGCGGCCCTACGTTATAGCTGACTGACTGACTGACCAGTCCGTTGGGTGACCATTAATTGAATGTTATCTGAAAAGATTATACGTCTGTATTTTCACTTCGGTGTGAAAGTCTTTCATCATAGAACGAGAATTTGATCTCAAAAAGATTTTTCACCTATTTCACTCTCTATGTGGTATAAAATGCATACCTTTCATATTCCGTGATCACTCTTTCAGTACAGTTGTTGGATTTCACACAAACTACTTAATTACGCTTATGATATTTTTTTTAAATGCATTTTAATAATAACACAAACTGACCAGAGCTAGACATTCACTTGAAATCAAAAAGACTGAATAGTTGTTTTATTTTTACACGGTACTATACAACAGTGCCTATCACCCTTTCTCCTTCTCCTGGTGATTGACTGGATCATGAAGACGTCAACATCTGAAGGGAGACGCGGGATACAATGGACATCTAGGATGCAGCTGGACGATCTAAACTTCGCAGATGATCTGGCCCTCCTACTGCAATCGCAACAACAAATGCAGGAGAAAACGACCAATGTAGCAGAAGCCTCAGCAGCAGTAGGTCTCAATATACACAAACGGAAAAGCAAGATTCTCCGATACAACACAGAATGCACCAATCCAGTCATAATTGACGGAGAAGATTTGGAAGATGTAAAAACCTTTACATATCTGGGCAGCATCATTGATGAACACTGTGGATCTGCTGCAGATGTGAAAGCGCGGATCGGCAAAGCAAGAGCAGCATATTTACAACTGAGGAACATCTGAAACTCAAAGCAATTGTCAACCAACACCAAGGACAGGATTTTCAATACAAATGTCAACAGAATTCTACTGTATGGGGCAGAAACCTGGAGAACTACGAAAGCCATCATCCAGAAGATACAGGTGTTCATTAACAGTTGTCTGTGTAAAATACTTCGAATCCCTTGGCCGGACACTATTAGCAACAACCAACTGTCGGAAAGAACAGACCAGATCCCAGCGGAGGAGGAAACTAGGAAGAAGCGCTGGAAGTGGATAGGACACACGTTGAGGAAAGCACCCAACTGCGTCACAAGACAAACCCTCACATGGAATCCTGAAGGCCAAAGGAAAAGAGGAAGAACAAAGAACACATTACGCCTGAAAATGGAGATGGACATGAGAAGAGCGAACAAGAATTGGATGGAACTAGAAAAGAAGGCCCAGGACAGAGTGGGTTGGAGAATGCTGGCTGGTGGCCTACGCTCCATTAGGAGTAAAAGGCGTAAGTAAGTAAGTAAGCCTATCAACGACTCGATTGCAAAAGATCGAAACCAACATCTTAAGTCTCATGCATCAACACTTAACTTCTAAGTCTCCAACCCCCAATCAAATGGTGTACATGTCTAATTTTAGTGAATTCACAATATTACACGATCATATTTCATTGTGTTTAGTGGAAAACTGCCTCACAACTGACACGTTTGATATCATTATCATTCGATAGCTTCCACAAACCTCTATACGGATAATTATCATGTGCTCATCAGTGACTAACTTTGAGAGTTATATCTGGAGTTCTAATGAGAAGCTATGATTAGTAAAGTTAAAACGTGTCGAGTGAGAGGCAGTAATCCCCTTAAGACAATGAAAGATGGTAGTGCAATATTGTGAATTCATTGAAATTATATATCCCGCTGGACTCCGATTGAGTGGTTTAAAAATTAAGCGTTGGAGCGTGAGACCAAAGATGTTGGGTTCGATCTCGTATGATAGAGTCTCAGATGTGTACTGTTTAGGAATACCATATAAGAATGAAACCACTCTCCAGTCTTACTGGCTTTAAATGAATGTCTAACTTAGGTCGGTTCTTGATACCGATAACATTGAATAATTTCCATAAACTTATAAACTGAAAAATGTACATGTTTGTGATACTAAATAATCTTCTTTACATGGAAAAATAAACTCTGAATATCTTGTTTCGAGTGTTGTATTCGCATACTTATGCCAACAAAACAAACTCATAGTGAATTCAATATCTTCATTTTAACCGAAAGAAATACTTGGTAATTTATAACCAATAAGATTAGCATTAATAAATAAACATAAATATTATTTCTCATTTTTAAAAGAGATGCATTTGTTAATAAACTATGATAGATTATTTAACCGAGTGATTTCATAATATTCATAAGTGTAAAAGCTAATTGTTACATAGATCCAGACTCTCTATGGTAGTCTAGCTTCAATTGACTCATGATCTCATCTATCGAAATTACTATGATATTTACAAAAACCCCTTCTGATATTAATCAACATATGCTCACCAATGACTGGCTTCAAGAGATATATCTCAGAGTTCTAGTGAGTAGCAGTAACCAGTGCAGTTCAACCGGGTCTGTTGTGAAATAGTAACTCACTGACGACAGTGGTTAATATGTCGCTCCATTTCATGAATTAGTTGAAGTTAGACATTAACACAGTTGGATGCCATCGGGTTCAATGGCCTAGTGATTAAGCGCTCGCGTGCACGACTGATAGGTTCTGGGTTGAAATCACACGAAGCGAGGTCGTAGATGTACGCTACTGAAGAGTACCACAATAGAACGAAACGGTCATCTAGTACTTTCAGGTTTTCTATGATAGTCTAACTTCAATGGACTTATAATCTCAACTATTGAAATTACTATAATATACAATTAATTTGTATTGACTAATATTTAACGAATGGAAGAAATCTGTATAAACTAAATTTATAAAAAGATTATTGAATAAAATTTTTTTTGCTAGTATAGGGGTTGTGAAGATTATTAAGTTTTTGATTGAGATCATGAACCGATTGATGTTAGACCACCTTTGGAAACCTGGACGAAACGGCCATCCAGTGCTTCCAAGTTTCCAAAGGTAGTCTAACATCAATCGGTTCATGATCTCAATCAAAAAAATTTTTTTGTTGTTGCTAACTTACAATAAGATTTGGTAATTGAATAGAATTTAAATTGATACATTGTTCATTATCTTGTTTCCAATGTGTCATGTATTGTATATTGAAATTAGAAAAATCTGATGATTTCCTATTTATTGAAGGAGCTGAATATGATCGTAATTTATGGATTTTTGATGAATTCGTTTGATATGATTTAATGAAATTATCATTGATTAATATATCTAATTGATCTAATTCATTATAATTAGTTACTATATTATTATTATATTTTATATCAAGATCAACATAAGTATCTTTTATTGATTGAACATTTTGTTTATCATTAAATTGATTTCTTTTTAAATAATGAATTTGTTTTAATAAATAATATTTAAATTGATTAATATCATAAGATGATTGATAGAAATATTGATTTGTTAATAATTTTGAATAATCAATAATATTGGTATGATTATTATTAGTAGTAGAAGTAGTAGTGGTAGTGGTAGTAGTAGTAGTAGTAGTAGTACTGTTGTCATTTGTTACCTTTACTTGTTTTGTTTGATGTTCTATAGTTGAAATATTTTGTTTCATTGATTGATTGAATAGATTATTATTATTATTATTACATAATAATTGTTCATGTTCTTTTTGTTTTAATTCTTTAGTAACTGCAAATGCTGATTTAGGACGTTTTATAACACTTGTGATAGATTTTAAAAAATGTTTATAATGAATAAACGTAAAAAGGAATACAAATAATGAATTAAAATATGAATTAGTAAAATGATTTATTCATATTGTTAATATTGATAATCTCTAATGGACTTAAACCATTAACTGAAATGTTGAATTCAGTTAGCTTAGAATGTTTTACAGAATATACATGTTTTAAGGATCATTTATAATGGATGGAAAATATATTGTAAGATCTTTGATTGAGATCATGAGTCAATTGAAGTTAGACTACCATGGAAAACCTGAAAGCACTAGACGGCTGTTTCGTCCTATTGTGGGACTCCTCAGTAGTGGTGTTAGTGTCCCACAATAGGACGAAATGGCCGTCCAGTGCTTCTAGGTTTCCAACGGTGGTCTAACATTAATCGATTCATGATCTCAATCAAAGAAATTGATAATCTCCACAACCCATATACTGATATTGTAAGATTTTTGAAAGATATCTGAAGAATATTAGTAAAAAACAAATAGGGGCAAGACTACAACTTATGGGTGAATCAATCAGATTTAAGATAACAGGTCTTGGATTTTAGCGCGAAAATCATTATTATTATTATTATTATTATTATTATTATTATTATTATTATTATTCGCATTCGTGAGAAGAACTTCAAACCTAAAACTGATTATGATGCCTATTTTCTAACATTTTAATGTACATATATGTAAATTAAAATGACTTCTTTTTTATAGATCTACTCAAGATCATTAATACAAAAGGTGAATTTTTCTTATCAGACTTTATTTTTATTTACATGTAACATAGATATGATTCCTTTTGAGATGGGTCCTCTTAATATGCATCAAACTATCATCATTTTGAAAGCCAAAAAATAGCAAATATAATAGTTTAAATTCACGTAGCATTGTTTATTTGAATCTTCTCACTGATTTTTAGGACTGTAATCGGTCAGTCTCTCATTGGCATATATGAATTTTGTGCGAATTACCTCGATATTGCCTTAAATCAAAAGCATTATAAACAAACATCAATGATGGATAACAGTGGAATCTAGGAAACGTGTCTCGTCCTACAAGGCTCGAGTTCTGAAGTAAACATCAACTGCGGGATACAGATACGTCCTGTTATCGAATTCCAAAATAGACGAAACGTACTTCCTGAATTCCACTGCTAGACAGCATCCATCTTTGTTTATAATAGTTAAATACTGTTAATAGCTAGTAAGAAAATTCCTTTATTATTCATCATTAAAATCAATATGTTTATGTTAGTGATATGTCTCGTCTAAAATAGAGTCACACTAACTGTAACTTGGGAATACAAGGACCCAACATTATTTCGTGGGGAAGGATAAAGTCACGATCTAAACTTTGAATCTTCAAAAAAAAGAAGGGAAGGTGATATGACGGGAAGAAAAATCAAAATTCGATTGATTTACTCATTATGAGTCTTGTTCAATATTACTTCCGTTTTTGATTCGATGTAATGATTACTCAATGAAGTACTTGTTTTGTTTTCTCGTATGATATCTTATTCTGTATAATATACAATATTCGTGTATTCAATTGACATGAACTATGATTAGCATATGATTTGTCATAAATGAGTATTTTTCATATATATGATTTCATCCTAATTATTAATCAAAGTGTTTGCACAATCAATACATCAATGAGTGTATTTTTGACTAGTATCGTCGTGTTTTGGGGTTAACAAGTCTTCACTTATACCAGTCTTTGTGTTCTTACTTTCGCGTCGTGGGGATTTCAAAGGTATAAATGATAAGCGTTTCCGACACAACAATCAGTCACGACCAAATATAAAAGTAGCTTACAAAACAACAAGACGTGGCGACGGGATTTTGGAAAAAGTCGGCAAGACATATCAGTTAGAAATATTGCCTAAAAACGAAATCAAATCAAACCTGTGCTTCACTGCATATGTTCCCGGTATTGGTGGTGATATTAAAAATTCAAATTCAAAAGATTTCTTTTTACTATTTCGTAACAAATCATTGGATCTATTAGAATATGATTGAATCGATGACCCTGATGATATTCTACTCATTCTATTTGACTTTGAATATTCACTTAAAGATCGACAAGCTGAAATGTTTGTAGAGAAGAAATACAAGTAATGAATTAAAATTTGAACTAGTAAAATGATTTATTCATATTGCTAATATTCGTAATCTCTAACAGATTAATTTGAGAAATGTTGAATTCAGTTAGCTTAGAATGTTTTATGGGGTCATTTGTAATAGATGGAATATATATATATATATATATATATATATAGCAGTGGAATCCAGGAAGCGCGTTTCGTCCTATTTGGGACTCGTCAGCTGGATGTACCTGAATCTCAGAGTTGATGTTCACTCTAGGACTTGGACCCAGTACTGTTCGCTTCAAACGCCATCGCATTATCCAATTAGTTAGTGAGTCCGGCTAACATTTTGAAGAATGTTAGTAAAAATAAGTTTATCATATCATATAAGCTCATTCAAACGATCTCATGAAGATATGCATAAACGAACATTGTTTGGCTTATTTATACTTTATTTACTAGTGATTCCAGTGTCAGATTCTTTTATTAACAGCCCGAATGCATTTCAGTAAATAAAATCTGAAAGAAATGTTCCCACGTATTACGGGCATCATACGATATCCAAAAAACTGCACATCATTACTCACTGTATAAATAATATGACAGGATTCCATTTTAATTTAGTTTATTATTATATTAAATGTCAGACGCTGAGGAAAGTTACCAAAGAAATTAGGTTCTAGTGTTTAGAACAACTCCATCTGTTGATTCCATGGTATTATCTTGATCACACTTTAAAAGTTTCCTACTATCAACCAAAATATTCTTACTTCCATCTATGTAATAATATTGATTTTGACTCGATTAGAATAAACCAGTAAAATAATAATGTTCCGTTTTTAAAAATACCTGAACTTAAGTTTCAGAATTAATGGCACTCCTCAACAAACCGTATCTGCAGTGCTAAGGCGATTGATAACATCTTCGGCATTCAAGTCACAATCATTCATCTATAAGATTGGAGATGCTGCTGACCAGATATTAGGAGTGTGATCAGTAGAATTCTAACTCGTCAATAGCCAAATAAGCTTATCATTAGTTTGAGTGTAGAGTCAAGATGAAAAAATGAATATTGATTGCTGATAACAACCATGTTGGTACGTGATAACTACTTTTGGCACTCAATATCATTAGAAGATATTTTCTCAGAGGTTGTACACATGACCTTCACTCCTAGCACTTAAATTGTCTGATGATGTAGGAATTAATAGTATGTACATTTATTGAAACAAATTCTATAGTCTTATTCCAGTTTTTCTGATTCAGGTAAAACTATTTTGATTTGAATATTCGGATTACTTGGACTTAGCTAGAAAAGGACACAAACAGATACATTTTTGTCAATGTTCACTCATCTATTCAATATTAATACTAAAGATCTGTTTCATCATGAATCATTTTATAATGTAAACTATGAGAGCTTAAAGTAAGGTAACACATTTTAAACAATCTAATCAAAGGTTTAGGATAAATTTCCGGGGTTTTTATTAGTTTAATAGGAAAACTAACTTTTACAGGAACACAACAGTAATCAAAATGAAAACAATCAAAATAACTAGCTGAACGAAATTTAGAAATTGGATTCATCTAATGCTAACTTGTAGATTTAAAAGTCATGAGTTTAACACAAGATTTGAGTATCCTGAGTTTAAACCCTTATGAGTTCGTCGGTGGATACAACTGAGGAAGCTGACACGAGAGTGAAACAACTATCTATTATCTGTTAAGTTTACAATGTTTGTTTATATAAAGTTAGTTCATGATATGAACTGTTTAGCGATTTTTGCCAGGTGTTTTTCGGCGAGATGGGGTTGCTATCCCCATGCCCAACCCTCCTTCTTTATCAAGGCTTGGGACTGACAATAACCCTAGGAGGGCTACAGGCGGGGTCGGTTAGGGAATCCTAACAGGTGGCCTATATTCCACGAAGAGTAAAAGGTGTGAGTAAGTCATGGTATATTAAGTATTTGACTGGATATAATACCTGTACTTCAACAATGAGAGTCAAATTGTTTTTGTTATTTATCTCAGATAGATTAAAACAACACAAAAAATCACTCACAAGCGAGATTGAATAGACTATAAGAAAAATTCTTTGGTACAAACCTGATTTATGCCTTACACCTATCATATTTGACCGTTTAAAAAATCTTGGATCTGCTGAATTAATTAAACATGATCTAATATATCTTGATTCAGCATAACTAGGCTTAGAGTGTAATGAATTGTTATTCTGTTGATTTGATTTATTCTTAATTGATTTAAGCCAAAATTCTTCCGCTTTATCTTCAACTGATTCATGATATTCCCATTTTACAGTATCAAAATTTAAAGCTAATATATTGTGTTGTGTATTAACAATTAATCTATAATAAACAGAATTAAAGTACATTGAAAAACAAAACATGATAAACAATTCATTTGTATGTTGGTTGTTTGAATCTTACCATTGATGTTTAGGAATGTGATCAGTCAGTCTCTCATTAACATATGTGCATACTGTGCGGATCACCTCGATATTGCCTTAAATCAAAAACATTATAAACAAACATCAATGATGGATAACAGTGGAATCCAGGAAACGTGTCTCGTCCTACAGGGCTCGAGCCCTGAAGTAAACATCAACTACGGGATACAGATACGTCCGGTTATCGAATTCCAAAATAGACGAAACGTACTTCCTGAATTCCACTGCTAGACACCATCCATCTTTGCCTATAATTCAAAGACAAGTTTGTTTAAGTAATCAAAAGTCATATACATGTTAATCTTTATGCCATGGCATTATGTTTTAAGTGATTATAAGGCTAAAAAAGTTTACCTAATGCTTCTTACATGAAAAACATACATAGAATTCAATCACCGATTATTCTGTAGCATCGATATTCGCTAATCCATTCATTGAAGGATTAATATGAATATTCAACGATGTAATTCTTATGTAAAACTGTTGGATCATTTGACAACATTATGTAGTTACATGAGCAGAAATAGAATATGTATTATATATTACCTAAAAACCACTTTTTAAGAGTGATAATCACTAAAAAACAAACAAGGTTTAGGAGACAGTATGATGATGTTATCAAGAAACTAAGTCTTCTCATTTTAATAATGACTGTCTTTGTGTTCAGAGAAATCGTTATAACTTATAATTGGCAACATATAGGTAAATAGGTTCATTCTTCGTCTGTAGTGGAATTTTATAAAAACGAATAATTATACACTGTTGTAACAGGAGGTGTCCGAAATCTGATACTGATATTCGATGTGCTACACGATAACCCCCCAACTGACTACTTGGGCTAGAACACAAGAGTGACCGAGAAAGTGTGTTAGGCTACCGAATAAAACGTACAAATACTCATTCACATATATACTACTCTATCCTTAGAAAATTGACCCCAATGAAATGTACCTGACATTTAAGTCACTTCTGACTGCCATCGATTGACTTACTCATTTAGCTACTGCTGATTTACCCACCATATCACACATCAGTGTATTTTCAATTACTGTACAACGCAAGCGTACTCCATTTCATTTTTTTCTTTAAACATTCTATTTGATCTTTACTATTTGAAAATTCGTCAATATGGATTAATGCCATACTATGATAAATTTCATAAAAATTCCAATGAACTACTGATTTCAAATGAACTACCAGATTGAATATATTTCCATTACTAGTAAAAAAGCAGAATTATAGTCTACACAGAATTCTATGTCTTTAGTTAATCCCTATAATATTACGATCAAGGATTATGACAATATTAACTCTTAAGTTCTAAATATCCTTGTTATAATATCTATATGGGAAACTAAAGTATAAAAACTTAATAAAATGGTCAGATTTTGACTTGTTTTTCAGAAGTACATTATTTTCAGAAGGGTTTTTTGTGGATATTATAGTAATTCTAATAGTTGAGATCATGAGTCAATTGAAGCTAGATCACCATAGAAAAACTAGAAGCACTGGACGGTTGCTTCATCCTTCTGAGGAGTCCCACAATAGGATGTTTATTGAACTTGAATTTTCTTATGATAATAGTCTGATAAAAATGTATACACTATCAATGTTTATGAATGATTCAATAAATATTAACATAAACTAAAAATATACCGATTTTCCAATGGCATAATACTTATAATTGGATCATGACGATAATTTCCCGGTAATATTCTTTGACAGTGTTGAGTTAATAAATTCCATACACGTATACGACCATCTGAACAACCAGTTATAATTCTTAAATCAATCAATTCAACACATAACACTTCACTAAATAAGAGAACAAAATTATTGATATTCATTTGGAGTATAAATGAACAAATTATTTCAGAATGCATAAATTGGCTATATACTTTAGTTTTCCTTACTCTCTGAATTTCTTTTATCAATATGTATATTGTAGTTGGCAAACTATGTAACTGTGAATTTCGTATTGAATAATTAAAGGTTAAATGACCGTCCAGTGCTTCCAGGTTTTCCATGGTGGTCTAGCCTCAATTGACTGATGATCTCAACTATTGAAATGAAAGATTTCTTGCTAATCAGCCATTAACTAGCAAAATGTAGTTGAAATATTTCATTTAACACATATTTCTAAGTAAATCAATACTGACAACTTAGACTATGGTAATAGACAACGGAAATTCAAACCATACAGTAACAATATGATTTTTCTATAGATCTCAAATGCATACATTATTGAAAAAGTTTATCATCACGAAACTTATATATTGTGTGTCACATAAAAATCAACTCAGTTCATTTAAAACAAACCTTCAAAAATTGGATGTCCTGGTTTCTATCGAATTTCTGATCCTGGATGAATCATTTGTCTAGTTTTCCATGACTTTAGACAATTTTCAACCCGGTCTTATTTCGTAATGACATCTAGTAATACGCTGTTGAACTAAGTTAGTATCTGTTACCAATTATTTATGTAATTATTCTACGCCTTACTAGCTACTAACTTTTAATTTCTAAACATTTATTACTTCCGAATTGTTCAAAGTTATAAGTCATAATTCTTGCTACATAGAGTACATTTCATGATACAACTGAATTTCTTCATAAATTAAATATATTAATCTAGAGGTTAAGCTTTCGTAAGCAAGACCGAAGGTCATGGGTGTAGGAATGAATTACCTACAAATGAATTTCTTGAGTAAGTACCTATACTGTCGCACATAAAGTCTTACCAGGGCTCTAGTCAAAACAAATAGCTATGTATATATCCAACAAATATGATCTGTTCTTAAAATCTAATTTAATACAATTAGTGCAAAAACGGAAAGTACTAGTCAGTTACAAAGAGAAAAATAAACGCGCGTATACCAAGAAGCATCAGGGATACAACATAATGAAGTAAAAACAAGGGTTAGTCATTCTTACTTAACTGGTGCAACTTCATCATTGATTGTTAAATTAAGAGATTCATATTAACAATTGGTTTGGGATTAAATGGGCCTTAGGCGGTGCGTGTTTAACTCAATTATAATTGGTTGATTCGACAGAGATTAACACTGGATTTCATTCCTGCATGTGGAATCGTAGATGAGCTCTGACGGGGAGTCCCAAACTAGGACAAAACTGCCGTTCATCACTTTCAGGTTTAATATAAAGAAAGAACCGTGATTTGAAAAACTTAAATAAAAAAGCACCCTAACTGTTACAATCCACTTACCCAGTATGCACTAATGTACCTATACAGTCGGAGAATTCTCCAATTATAGACCATATTTTTACAGATTTATCTCTGGACGATGTGACTAAATGATAGTTGTCGAACCGTAACGCTGTAATAACATCAGTATGACCAGTCAATACCTGTTATAATAATGATGTTAATAAAACATAATTCAACTGTGTATCATCAAAAAACGTTTTTGATTATCTTTTCTGCATATTATTCAAGTTTGTACACGTTATTCTTTCAGTATAACACATGTAGATCAACGTAGAATATTATTCTAATGTTTTCAAGGTTGAATTTGCGATTCGATCTAAGCTACACGACCGTTGAAAACCCGGAAGCACCGGATGACCGTCTCGTCCCAGTATGGGACTACTCGGACGATCCCAAACAAAAGACTCGAACCCGGGACCTTTGGTTTCGCGCGCGAACGCTTAACCACTAGATCACTGAGCCAATAACCAACGGTGTTAATGACTAACTTTAATCGATCCATGATCTTGCATAACCTTTCATCCATTGTCTGAGGTGGACGATTGTTTCACATTCGATACGGATTGGACTCCACTGGTCATGGCTCAAACTGGATGACGGCTCAGTGGTCTGGAGGTTAAGCGTTCGCACATGAGACCGGTGGTCCCGGGTCCGAGTCCTGCGTGCGGAGTTGTGGACGCGTACTGCTGATGAGCCTCACAATAGGACGAAAAGGCCTTCCAGTGCTTCCAGGTTTGCAACGGTGGTCTAACATCAACCGGTTCATGATCTCAATCAAAAACTTAGTAATCTCCATAACCCCTTACTTTGTGTTTTTTTGTTGGGTTTATCGTTTCATGTAAAATGAAGACATAATTAATTTGAATCAGTGTAACTGTTTGGTAGTGAAAGTAAAGTGTGATTGATCGTTGAGTGTGAACAAGCAGGCACTTAGCCTACTAACTATTAAATATGTGATTTCCATCCCTCTCTTTGATTTCTACTCCGAACCCACTATGTGTGATTGATTGTAATTGTATTGGATAAGATATTATCTAGTGTTAATCTGGTTCTCTATTTTGGATTATGAAACCAAGTTCTTCTATAACGAGATTAGTCTAATTAATGAATTAACATAATATCGAAGTATACCTGAGGGAGAGAAAAAAATATTATAAATTGTATCTTATATCAGTGATTATTTTTGTACCGATTAAACATAGTGTAAAACTTACAACCTTTAGTATAATTATTTAACTAAATTATTATTTATTTATTTGAGTTAAGTATCGTGGTATTATTATCTGGAGGACCATTTAAAACTAGACGGTACTCTGGTATGAAGATTATAAATAAAATCAAAGTAATGTATTCATTAAATTCACTTGGTATTATTTACTTGAATCTTCCCATTAATGCTTAGGATTGTGATTGATCAGTCTCTCTCTTATTGGCATATGTGTATACTGTGCGGATTGCCTCGATATTGCCTTAATTCACAAGCACTATAAACAAAGATGGATAGTGACTAGCAGTGGAATTTAAAACACGTGTTTCATCCTATTTGGGACTGGTCAGCTGAATGTACCTGCATCTCAAAGTTGATGTTCACTCTGAGACTCTAACCCAGTACTGTTCACTTCAAACGCTATCGTGTTATGCACTCAGCTATTGAGTCCCGACAGGTACTGACGAGTCGCAAATAGGACGAAACGCCCGTCCTGTATCCCACTGCTAACCACTATCCATCTTAGCTTATAATTTATTCATTTTCTATTCGATTATTGTAGTTTCAACAACAAAAAATATCATTATTGTTACAGTTTATGTAGTAATCAGTTGTATTTATTCATACATTCAGTGCAGAATGATAAAAATCTTTTTAAAAAACTAATAACTAACTAATTTTATGAATATGATTGTAAGTATTCATTATTTTATGTAATATTAACCTTTATTAAAATTGGTTTTTTATTGCCAATTCTCCAGACATTTATACGTCCACTATGTTCACCAGTTGTACAAATGTATCCTCTTAAGCCTACTGATGTGATTGGAGTTGAATGTTTCATAATCCATAATGGTTTTTGTTCATCTAATCTCCAGACTTTAAAATATTTCACAAGTATAAAAAAAGATTATTTAATTTAACAAAAATCTACTAAGTAGTATATTAAATTAATTATTTGGATTATTGTTAAAATAATACTGAATAAAAGTATAATATTTTATACTAGAAGGGAACTATACAAGATAATAAAAGGATGCTTTTCTACTTTGAAGAAATCTAAATACTTGAAAATAACTTTAAATAAACTAAATCATCTTTAACCTTTAAAAGATAATGAACTAGAAGAGTAAACATAAAAAGTATTTTATCCTATTCATTGTTAGATGAAATCATTATTTCTAATTATAAAGAGAGTTGGATGATGGTTAACAGTGGAATCCAGGACGCGTGTTTTGTCTTATTTTAAACTTGTCAGTTGGAGGTATCTGCACTGCAGAGTTGATATCTCAGGACTATTATTCAACATAAAGAAAATCTAAATCTATTCAAAACTTAGTGTTTTGAGATATGATTGTAAATTGGTTTTTGATGTTCAACTAATAGGTGCCTGTTCATTTTTATCACCTCACTTGCATCAAGTTTTACATGTCTTTATGTTTTGGCTACTTAGGCGAAACCTAATAATATTAATCGATCAATTCAAACTTAATTCTGTGATCAATCTGACACTCTAACGCTTGGTAATAACTTCCTAGTCGTTTCCCATTTATTCATTCATCTTTGGACAATCACATCGACTAATCGCTTAAAATTTATGCCCTATCTTGTACACTGACAGAAACCTAAAGCTCAAACAACAAGTGTAAATGACAATTACAATAATGTAAGAAGACCTTGTTCATGAACTCTGAGTTCATAGGTGGTACCATAGCAAATATTCAAAAACCCATTAATGAAATTACTAAGAAAAACTTTCTATTCTCCAAAGCAGTATCTTGTATATTTGTTCATTGATGAATGTAAAACGACGAATAATTCTATTCTCGAACACTTCGTTATCAAGAAGCAGCTTTAAAAATCACTTACTTAGTTGAATAATCTGACTTTAAAAAATACATATCCGAAATCGATTATTTTTTAAAATTTATTTCTATACTTGTAAACTCTTGTGAAAGAATAAACATATATATATATATATACGAACAAATGCATACGGAGACAACTAGTGTGGCACCAGACTCTGCATTAGTAGGCCTCAACATGCACAAAGGAAAAACAAGATCCTCAAATACAACACGGAGAACACCAACCCTTCCAACTCTGGAAGATGTGGAATCCTCCACGCACCTGTGGACCATCATCGATGAACAAGAAGGATCAGATACAGACATATAGGAAAGGATTGGCAAAGCAAGGGATGCATTCGTACAATTGAAGAACACATGGAACTCAAAACAACTTTCAACCAATATCAAAGTGAGAATCTTCAATACGAACGTCAAGACAGTTCTACTATATGGAGCTGAAACTTGGAGAACTACTACAACCATCATCAAATTGGTATAAGTATTTATAAATAGTTTGCTACACAAGATGCTCAACATTCGTTGGCCGGATGCCACCAGCAACAACCTTATGTGGGAGAGAACAAACCAGCTTCCAACGGAAGAGGAAATTAGGAAAAGGCGATGGAAATGGATAGGACATACACTACTCAAATCGTCAAACTGCATCACGAGGTAAGCGCTAACTTGTAATCCTAAAGTGAATCGGAAAAGAGGAAAGCGAAAGAATACATTACATCGGGTAATAGAAGCAGATATGAAAAGGATGAACAACAACGGAAAAGAGCTGGAAAGCAGTGCCCACGACAGGGTTGGATAGACAATGCAGGTGGGCGGCCTATGCTCCTCCATGAGGAGTAACAGGTGTAAGTAAGTAAATATATATGTATATATATGAAATAATGTTACTATTCCAAAATTTATTAGTTGTATATAAATGAATTCAACTTACTACAACATGTACGATCAACTGAACCACTTGCAAATTGATATGTACCTTGAAATCCTTCTTTTTTAACATCATTTGGATTATTATTATTATTATTATTATTATTATGTCTATTATTTGAATGATAAGATGAATATGATCGTTTTTCAGATGTTCTATTATATTTTGACCATAATTTAGTTTGATCTAACCAAATACAAAGTATAGTATCTGTATGACCATGAAATATTCTAATACATTTTGATCGACTATTTCTAAAACTTATAGGATTTAATAGATTTGTTTGTTGATTTAAACAATGTTGATTATTATTATTATTGTTATTATTATCAGATAGATTCCATAAACGAATACTTGTATCATAACTACCTGATAATAAAATTGAAGTTTAATATCTAACCATAATGTTTTTACACTTCCAGCATGTCCAATTAACCAAACACGATTTAAATGTGCCCTACATATTCAAATAGAAATATAAAATTGATTGTATAGTTTAAAAGAAGACAAAAAAAGAGAGAACATTTTAATGATTGTTAAGTTTAATCGCTCAAAAATATTCTCATTATATGCAAAACACAATGATATGAATGAAGAATATTCATTCCAATGAATTTCTCATCAGGTACTCTATAATTATCTGATATCCAAATGAATAATCCATAAAATTAGTCAGATTTAAAGCAGAGTACATCATTACAAATTGTGAATATGTGAATCAAGGATTGTTGTTTGTTATATCAAATCATATCGTTAATGTTGAAGCTGACTAATGTGAAGTTGTCGACTTGAATCAGTTTATAAGTTAAATGAAATGGTAAGAATAAATGGTCAGAATAAATATGGTCAACGTGGGGTGAGAGAGAGAGAGAGAATAATCCAATACAAATCAGAAAGTACGTAATATGTAGAATGATATGAATTAGTCAGATATAGTAGATTTTATTTGTTTATTTTATTTTTAACAAATAGATATTGGTACAAGGAGGCACCAAATACATATGCGCCACACAAATCTCATTTGATATGTGTGAGGGGTGTGATACTACCCTGGTGCCCAGACCGAAGCAGGTGGTTTTCTTAGGGGCCACACCCGGAGCCTTCAACCCGAAGGTCTGATTCACAAGTAATTGAAGCATCGTAAGGAGATGCAGTCCCATGGTAGCTGGTGACCAACGATTGGTTCATACACTATTTGTTCCTTTAGGATACTGCAGTCCATGTGCACCATTGGTTTGGAATCAGGGTTTTCCAACTCCCTTAGGTGGACTCTACATGTCCACCAACCCGGTTAAAGCACCGGGCATTCGCTTTCCGTCCTCTCAATTTCCTAAACGACACCCTCGTCACGACAATGCAGTGAGTAGGACTTTCCTGGCAGAGGCTATATACGCGTGACCATGTGAGAGCATTTCGAGAGGGGTAGCGGACTCTCCCCACTCTTGGCCGTACCAGGGCATTTGGGGTGATATAGTAGATAGGAGTGGATGCTGAATAAATTCCTCAAAAAGGTTATCAAGTGTAATAATAATAATAATAATAATAATAATAATAATAATAATAATAATGGCAAAGATAATAATAACAGGTCTGCTTAACTTCAGTCTTAGCATTTCACTCAGTGCATCATTTCTGAATTATAAGCGTATATACAAAGGCTTTTTATTCACAGTTAGACATTCTCTATGCTCTCTTTTAGTGACTATGTTTTTATTTATAATTAATTTGTAATTAATAATTACTAGTTACTTACATAAATTCAGCAGTACTACCGGATTGATTAACATTACCATTTTGTTTATAAATGCAATTAGATGAAGATTTTTCACAAAATGATTTCATAGTAATATCTATAAATTTAATTGTACGTTGTTGAGATCGTCCTTCACAATGAGCTAACCAATGACTTCTATTATCTACATGTATTACACGTCGTTTGCATAATGGTTGATTTGGTTGCCTATGATAATTAAATCATTGAATTAATGTAACAAAAGTAAGCTGTTTTAATGAAACATTCAATGAATATAATGTCCTATTTTATTCCTAAAAAGATATCAAAATATATACATAAATCTAATGAACAGACATAGATAACTTCACCGGTTGAAATCATGAGTCAGTTGAAGCTAGACCGCCATGGAAAACCTGGAAGCACTGGACGGTCGTTTCGTCCTAGTATGGGACCCCTCAACAGTGTGCATCCACGATCTTGACGCCCGCGAGATTCGAACCCAGAACCTACTGGTTTCGCGCGCGAGACCGATAGATCATGGGTTCGAATCGGGCGGGGTGGATCGTGGATTCTCACTGCTGAGGAGTCCCATACAAGGACGAAACGGCCGTCCATTGCTTCCAGGTTTTCCATGGTGATCTAGCTTCAATTGACTCATGATTTCAACCAGTGAAATTTCTAAAATCTTCACAAAACCCCTTCAGATATAGATAATTGAATCACACTTTCTATAATATCAAATACTAGTTTTTTTTTCTATAATCTAAATCTGTTGAGAAAAGTTAAGCGTTACAATTACTTAGTTTTCTAACTTTATTCATCATTTTTTATGGTCAAAATCCTTTCACAATTCTAATCTTTCGATTTATTCAGTCATTCATTTATTTGCCCTTGTCAATTATTCATGTAACCCTGATTATGGTTTTATGATAGTATGTATCTGTTTATTCACGTTTGGCATTTCTTACGAGATTTATAAAAACTAAGTCACCTTACTACTCTAAGTGGGTCTATTAGCGAAGTTCAATGACGTATATAGTCTCTGGATCTTTAATCTGTCATTCAACATACTAGTATGCCTGAAATATATGTACCTTAAATATAATTCGTATTAGACTTTTGATATACCGTTGTCCTAAATGTGCTAAATCGACGGAATACATACGAAGTCAAGTAGGATATACATTACATTAGCGTAAATATTGTCTGATTAGAAAGGAGTCAAACATTTGCCGAAAATATAAAGTCTTGCAAAGTTTTGCAATTCAAGTGTTATGATCTCGATTATGAAACAAAATAAAAGTTCATTCTTATAGTTGAGTTCGTTGTGTGGGGTCTGATACCATGCAACGCCTACATGGACTATTCTAGCATTCGGACAGACCAGTTATTCATCGCAGGTTACATTTTGAACTTGTAAGTTGTTCGCTTATAACGTGACCGTTTTTTATTTGAGCGTATGTGTATCGTTTGCCCAGTTCATTATTTCTTTAGCTGATTTTTATCTGACTATAAATAGTAAATCACGCTTTATCAAAGGAAATTGGTACACTTGCCTTTTCCGCTTCTCTTTGTTTACCTGCTTCTCATTTTAACGTATGTCTACGTAAACAGTTGAATGAAATAAAGCAATCCACTTAATTTGTGTTTGGCTCCTTACTACCGCTGTCACTCAAATGGGGTTAGCCTAAGTGTTACATAACGAAGTAAACGGAAGGTCTGTATTCATGGTATATTCATATGTTCGTACAAATGGAGTCAGATTTCGAACCACTAATTTGGTGAGCCACTTTAATTTCCTCTTTTAAATGAACCTCAGGAATTTTACATTGAACCCAATACTATTCATTTTTAATCATGCAACAATACTGAATAGCCTAATACGTTATTTATGAACTTGAATGGAGACAAAAAGGTTTTAATTTACACCCTATTGTTAAGTATTACTAATATTTTCTTAAATATATCCTTTATATAATAAATAGAATTCGTTGGGTTTTTCTTATTTCAATGAAACAGAACACAATTATTTTCAATAAACTAATAAGTAGATCAGTAGTAAAAATATGCTTTGGCTTGACTTCTTCAGTAAATTTCTCAGCTGTTAGTAATTCAAATGTCCCGAAGCTGACAACACCTATTTATAACATGGAATCTAAGTCACATTTTTAACAAGACGGTAAAATTCCTCAACAAAAAAAAACCAAAATACAAAATGCTACATCTTTACTTTATCAATACTGACTATTACCCATATAAAGTCCTTACCTTTCTAACAATACATAAATGCTAAATGGTCCACAGTAGATATTTCTTTCAAACATCAAAGCATATCGTATTTTTATCTTATTATACGCTTGTTTTATTTCATACGATATTGAATCCATGATTTTTGTATCAAATCATTCCAATCATCAGATGAATCAGACTACGGTTTTACAAAAATAGAAAATTCCCTCATAACAAATTATTGATTTAAACAAATGACTGATTGACTATTTATGAAAGAGGAACTTGTCAGTTAGTTCACCTTGAGTGAGTTCGAAATTTGTTTTCGTCATAGATCGATACAAACTACAGAATTACTGTAAGTCAGGAAGCACTGGATGGTAATTTTTTTCATCTTAAAATTAAATTTATGAATAGTGAACACTCAAAACTCTATCATGGATTGAATTCATTACCTTCAGTTTTGGCTGTGATTTTTCACTAGTCTAAATCTCTAACTTTAATCAATTTGGTTTAATTTATTGTAGCCAAGTGAAAATACAGCAATAAATAAAATGAAATCAAGAAGTATTGGAAAGAAAACTGAAAAATCTAATTACTTTTGAAATCCAATTTATATGAATATTTTATTACGGCAGTTGTACAGTACTTTTCCAATTAACACCATAATTCTAATGCTTTTAATATTATTTTTGAGTGTACATGATAATTTGGTAAAAGAAGAAATAAGATTACCGGTTACACAGTAATTTATGTGCACGAAACAAATACTTGCATCAAATACATTAGAATTACTATCGATGCAGAAATATCAAAACGTCTAGGATATGATCTACCCACTAATCTACGACACACGTACCACAGATCTTCAAATTACACTAAGAGTAGAGAAACTAAGCTTGATAGGCAATATTAACGCAATAATTAATCATGAATTGCTCATCTGGAAAGGTCTAATACTATACAGTAGCCCTTATCATTAATTAAATTTCATTGGTTCACGGATTCAGAATGGATCCTAAATACAATCATTCGACTGTATAGAATATACCATATATGATGTTAGATAAAACCATGAAATCAATTTTTAATTGATGAAAAATTCCCATCATATTAAAAACACAATTGTATGAACGAAGAATATTCTTTTCAATAATTTCTCATCAGGTTCTACAATTATAAATCCAGATTAATAATCCATAAAATTGGCCAGATTTAAGGCAGAAAATACATCATCATTTGGAAATGGTGAATATGTGAATCAGGAATTGTTTGTTATATAAATAAAATCGTTAATGTTGGGGCTGACTAATATGAAGTGTTAACTTGAATCGGTTTATAAGCGAAATGAAATTGTGAGATAAATAATTATCAGAATAAATATGGTCAACATGGGGTAAGAGAGAGAGAGAGAGAATATTGTGATTACAAATCGGAAATTGCGTAATATGTAAAATAATCAGGTCAAATATAGTAGGTTCAGGGGTGGATATTAAATAAATTCCTCAAAAAGGGTTTATCAAGTGTAAAAACAATAATAGTAATAATAATAATAAGTTTGGGACATAAAATGAACATTAATCAGATTATGTCACCACATTATAAGATTGATTATTAGCTAGTTGGCCAGGGTAAAAGGAGAGGCTGAACATACTTCTTTTGGATACAAAGCTCTGGCTTTTTGATCCGAATAGCAATTGCTTCAGCCGTCTGTAGGATTCGCAGTCTGACGGAATTAGGTAGACTGCTGTTGACACGATAAACTATTGCAAAAGATTGCTCCATGTTGGCTGTATGTCCTGTTTGGACTAAATGGTCTAAGATGGAGCTGTTAACAGTTTTGACAACACCTTTGCTTAACCACACGGGTAGGTGCTCACGAGCCCGAATGTACAAATTCCTAGAACATCTGCCAATATAACTTGCTCCACAGGAGCAGTTGAATTGATAGATACAGAAGGAGGTGGCTAGTCTAGGTAATTTATCTTTCAACCTCGGAGTGATTATTGGTCGTGTGGAGAATACTAGTTGTAGTTTAGCTGCGTTGAAAGTCCTTTGAATTGATCTACCTAACTTAAGTCTTAACATTTCACTCGGCGCGTCTCCTCTGAATTGTAAGCGTATATATAGAGGCTTTCTATTTACTGTTGGACATTCTCTACGCTGTCTTTTATTGGCTAAGTTTTTATTTATAAATTTCTCTGGATATCCATTTTCTTTCAGGGTTGTAAACAATGTCTTTGTTTCATCTTCAATCGTATCCATAGTGCATATAGTCTTGATTCTATGATGTAGTGTCTTGATAAGGTTCCTTTTTTGTTGTAGAGGAACGAAACTGAAAAAGTTAGTATATTGACCCGTCCAGGTCATTTTCCTGTTTATGTTTCTTTTTAGCGATCCATCTTTTCTCCTTGTAAGCAGAACATCTAGGAAGGCTATTTTACCCCCATTTTCTTTCTCACATGTGAATTTTATGGACGGGTGAGCTGTATTGAATTGCTCGAGTGTTCTTATCAATTTTTATACTTCTTGACATAGATGACCAAGGTCAAAATAAAACTTCTCTGTTCGGAACAATAAGTAAAAATTATCGACCACATTTTCAATAGTTCACCAATTAGAGCAAATCTCAATGATTTTGTCTTGGTGGAAAAAAAAGAATCCAATTCTCTGTTCAACTTTAGTGAAAGTTACAATCTTTATACAATTTGTAAGTACTTTACTCAAGGTCAAATAAAAGTATTCTTTAGGAAGTCAATTACTATTTATAAGCTGAAAAATATGTTTTTAATTCAACTTTAAAAGGACAAGTCAACTAGACTAGACATTTAATTTCGTATATCCTTATCATTAACCAATATAAATTCTAACATAATATCAGATTATTTAACGATAACAAATCGCCGTTTCGATCGGTTCTGAGATCTTTAAACACTACACATATTTCACCTTATTTGTCCTCTAGAAAAGACATCTCATATGGAGTCTTTTCTTTTTACACAGGCAATGAGTAGAAGAATTATACTCTAAGATAGTCTACCTTTAAAATACTCAGCACCAATGCCACTTACTACAATTGGATATTCCTCTGAATGAATATGTACGTATTAGAAAATTCCACTCATATGTATTAAATAAACCATAAATCTGCTCATTTCTAAACGTAGAATGCAAGGGTTCTGTCTTGTATGGGTTTGATAAATCAAAATATTGAAATCTCGAAATGAGATGTTACAGTTCCTCCTGAATTTTAGTAATCATTCAGATGAATCAAACCCTCATCAAATATAAAAGTGATACTACTTTACAAGTTTTTCGAAGACCATTTTCAATAAAACATTCAGCTTATTTGTAGAAGTTTTAAATGTATCTATTTATCATTTTGTTCAATCCAGCAATATTTTACGAGAAAAAATAACCGCCTATGTTTACTAACAATTTTTGTCATTAGAGCGCATAATATATGTAGCATAAATAATATAAAAATAAACCTGACTCAAATCACCCTAATGAAACTCAGTCGCTTCACACAAAGCGATTTCGTAGCGGAATTCTTTCATAAGATGTGAGGTTGCTAACTCTACGCCCCGCCCTCTTTATTAACTGGGTTTTGGGACAGGCAATAGCTCTTGGCGAAACTTCAAATGAAGTAACTTTATACATACCAGTAACAATTGCTATTGAAACTAGGATATTTAAAATACTTTGTGGATGATTTATTTATTTAAACTCTAGCTCGTAAAAAGAAATATAAACATATCAGTTTTCAAACCTGTGATCAAGATTCTGAAAACCAAACCCATGAACTAACAAACCACAGTTTCACTAAGGTACCTACCAAGAAATCATTTAAATCTAGATCAAAGCATTGTTTATAAAAAGACTAATTCATTTATAATATGACACGTAAAACGTGGGTATTGTTTTTGAAATGAACTAATAGTGAGTACCTTTTCATCTCATTTAAATTTTTGATACATACAGATAACTGCTGGGAGTTTGACACTTTATTGAAGTGAAGATGCAGGCTTAACATATACATGGTTTATAATTTTTGTAGAGGCCTATTCCTCTTTATTTAACCCCAAGAGACGGTATACCGTTAACCAAGTATTTTAGCAGGCCAGTTCTCCCAGTATTACTATGAATTTACCAGAGAATATTCAGGAGCTGGAACACCAGTTGTTGGAATAGTGTATTGCAAATGATTAATAAAACCCGCAAGCACGCAAAAGACATGCATACAGGGAAGCGAGTGAGATTAAAAAGCCGAAATATCCCTAGATATTTTGTGAGTGTTAACCACTTGTGAGTAAGTTATTGAGTGTCTTTTTTAACAACCATTAGGAGGATAGACAAAAATTGAGGTGCAGACATGTGTTCAATCAAACTCATACATACTTTTTACATGGTGGCTTAATTGTCTAAGTTACACGAGGTAGGTAATAAGAAATTAAACGAGCTTACTACAGTTTTATCCACTGCTTAATTTTGCATGATTGATAAGAACAATATGACCCATATTCTTAATCGATAAAAACAAAACAGATCAAAATTTCGGTAAAAACTTACATGCATTTTTTTCCCTTGACTACATGTATTATCATTACTCCCTGTAACTACCTGTGGTTCCTTAAATAACCCAGAGTTTGGTTCACCTGAAATTTTACTTCTCAACTGAATTGGGCATACAGGCACTGGTACTAATGTGTATCTCATAAAGTGTGGATCAACTCGAAACAGTGATGACTGAAAATTAAATAAAACAATAACAGTCAGTTCATCATAATTTAGCTCCTTCCTTACAAACTAATGTAGTGTGTATATGTAAATGATCTAAAATAAAGGTTACAAACCACAAATGGTGTGCAGTTTTTCTGCTTCATAGCAAGTATTTATCAAAGATTTCGAAAAACTATTGATTAATTCAGTAATAGTATTGGACTCGAAATGTACTTTTGATAAACTAGAGGTCGGTTAAGCGCCTAGCGCGATACTGATAGATCCTAGTTTCGAATCTCGTGGGATGCGGGATCGTGGATACGCCTTATTGAGGGATCCCATGCTAGGACGAAACGGAGGTCCAGTGTTTCCAGGTTTTCCATGGTGGTCTAGCTTCAACTGACTCATGATTTCAATCATTGTATCGTATCAATTAGATGACTGAATAAATGAAAGTGCTGCTTAAAAAGAATAATTTCCAGACACCATAACCAAAGTTTAACAGTCATACTACAAAGAACAATGTGCCGAGTAACTACAATTTGATAAAATCCTTCACCCACCATCTCATCCAATCTTATCAGATAAAGACAAACTCAATACCCATACCCAAAGGCCTTGGCAAGAACTTCGATTATTTCCCATGACTCTGCCACTCATTTGACGTATAACTATGGAATGATTACTACCAGGTACAAATAAAGGTAATTCATCTTTTTCATGGAGATGCGGTGGTATGATAGCTTTGATCTTCCATATTACCCTGAATAAATCTAAATAAGCTTGCTGGTTGAAACATTAGGATTACTCAAGCTTCAATCAATGAGACTGCTTTAAGCATAGTTTTTACACATGTTATTTTTGATATGCTCAGCGCACAATTTCTGTTTAACTGTCCGCCCAAATATTAAAGAATATCCATATGAAAAATTATGGTTTCTGGAGTACTTTAACACGACCAATACAGAACATTTTTGTTTCACAGATTCTGTAATTTACCAAGTTTCAATGATTTCATTGAATAAACAGGTGAATGAAAATGAGCTGGTATTACACCTGTTATAGTTTCAATGGGAAAAGAGAAAAGCCACCTACATAATACGGAGTTTGTGTGTCGAGATCTTAAAAGCTAGTATGTCTTTGAAAACAAGGAATTTTGAAAATAAATAGACTGAACTCAAAGTTTTGATGGCAAAATCTCGGACAAATGTAACAACAGCCAAATGTATATGTCCTATTCTGGACTTCTAAGATACGTCTTTGTAAGATCTAATACAGATACTAACTGGAAGGACTATGAAGCTACTCTCAACACTTGGAAACATCTACAAATGAAATTAGGTTTGTGGGGTGTTTATAGCAATAGTATATGCTAGTGAAGCTAATTAATAATTTATAAATGACTCAAGACCTAACAAAGTTTTAGACAGACTTCTATTAACCCACTTATTACTAATAAAAAGGAATACACCAATGACACGAAAAGCCAAAGATTCGAAATGATAAAGTAAGCATTTTATGAGCTATGTTCAAACACATTACAACAACGATTGATAGTAACTGCTTAATCTTAATTTGCTTTGGCCGTTGGTCTCCTCAAGATCAATCAAGTAAAATAATTATTATTTAATTAACGGTAGTCCAAATCTTTACAGAACTGGTAGAGGCCACAGTCTTAATGTTACATAGATGTCTTAATAGTAATGTGCTACCATACATTTTCTGATACTTTACTCTATTTGGATTCGGCGTGCAAGCGACACATTCACCACCATCAAAAAGTTTCAGATGAAAATTACCTTAAATTTAATTAACAGTGTCCTTAATGACAAGATATTTGACAGTCAAAACGGAGGCACATAATAATCTACTATTTGAGAGTATATTGATCACAAGAACAAACACAGCGAACCTTTAGACTCAGGTATATCAAGGTCAATCCATAATGATCAAATTAAAGAATACGACAACTATAATTCAATGACTTATAAAGTGATCTTTATACAAATACTATTCAAACGAGTGGTGGTATTTGAAGTATTTGGCTACATGCAAAGTTTCGCTAAGAAATCCCCATCAAACCCATCACCATGTACAAAATTAACAGCAAATGTCAGAAAAAGAATAATTATGATTTACCTGCAAACTTCTCAGAGATTAAAATCAGGTTACTGAAGCCTCTAGGGATATATGTGACTCAAACGCCTACGAAATCGCTGCAATCACTATTATGCGATGAAGAAATGTAATAACAGAGGAAGACAAACTAAAGATTACCTCCAAAATAAGTTGTGGCAAGAAATATATTTCCTTAAATATCTAGCATTTTTATCATGGTAAAAAAACTCCGAAAATTCCTCCTAATCTATAAAAGACCCAAATTCAGTAGCACTACAAACATATGGTTAGACAGCCGCGAACAAGGTGAAAGCTGGCAAAAAATTCTCTGGCCTAAGTTGAAGCATCTCACAATGGAAGGGCAAAAGGGGAAGTTAACAAGATGAGTTTTGAGGAATGTATAAATGACAATACTTAATGAAGTAAAAAATGAACATCAGGAATAAAAATTTAAAAGAATCAGTGAGAGTGAATATTTAAGAGAACAAATAAATACCATCATCACTAAGACTAAAATCTAGCCATTGTTCGGCAAAATTCTTGGTCATAGATTTCGAGTAGCTTTTGGACTTTTATCAAAGCTTTTGCTTAAAAACTTATCAGGAATCTGGAGGTCTTACTAACAATCATCTCTGAAGATGTCAGAGGAATTTACATATACTTTAGTAGAATCACTTTAAAAGAAAATCTTACGTTTTCTATTGACCATAAACTGTCCTTCAGCATTTGTATAAATTAGTGTTAGTCTTGTGTATACCTAACTATAAAATCTCAAATTCAATTAAATGTGTCGAGTATGTGAAGTGTGTTCTCTGTCTCCAGTCATGGTCCAACTGTGACTATTAAAGTACGTGTTGGCAAAATCTGAGGTTTCCTTAGTTCACATATCAAAGTCTGTATCCCTACTACTTCCAAGTGTTTTACAGCCTCAGTTCCTTAACTTAACTTGCTGCATCGGTTGGTTTTAGCGATTTGTTTAAAAAAGTCATGTCCTCAATATGTATGAACTAGTTTGTTCATATTAACTGAACAACTGACCTCAACCAGATCAGCAACCACACGCATTGTCGAGAACAGAAGTTTCGGATCACTGTACATCAATGTCTATTGACAGCTACAAAATAACTTGAGCTGTGTTTCCAGAATTTTAACCATATATATTTCTATAACACTATAGATAGTTTCTGAAATCTTACCGTACATTGAAGTTCGGTCAAAGGGCTACCTCTTGTTTTACGTGCAACCTTTTTTTCTTGATTGTTAACAAATGACTTAATTTTTGAGGTGATATTCCATGGCAGTTGTATTGAAGATTCATATTCCCGAGTCTTAAAATCACCTTTCTGTAGTGAATTTTTGTGAAGTTCAGAGCTGATCGAACTTGTCATGGACGGACTGCTACCAACCAAAACATATAGAATAAAAAGCCTTTGATAAACTAGAGGTAAACGTGATAAGTAATTTATAACTCGGGTCTCAACTTCATCCATATGTTGAGGTGAAAGAAGCTTCCGTTTGTCACTAGCAAGATTCCAATCCATACAGCCATATAACCTCATTTTAGAGTAAAGAATGTCTTTTGACTTGTTTAACTCCACAAGTTTACAAATATCATCTCGTAACTTATTCAAATAAGGATTACTCATCAAACTCATTAATAGAGCTTTGATGTTGTCCGTGCACCACGAACTCAGGATACACTCACCAATTTTTATTAACTCAGAAAAAATGCAAGTTGCACAACTACAGCAATTATAAAAGTCTTTATTGTTGCAAGAATCCATGAGCGCATTAACTGCAAATAAACTTTAAAAAGTACACTGCCTTATATCGTCCAATTAATCGTATCCAAACTTCAAATTTGTTAAGCAGAAATAACTAGTCTTTTCACACTTCGGGATATATCCCATAAGTATGTTTGTAGATGCAACTACTTCATTACTTGATCTTTTAAGAAGTGACTTTCTAGAACCTTGAATAAACACAGACTTCGCTCACTAAGTACAGATTCAGATTTACGTGGTAAGGATGGAAGGCTTATGGCCTATGTCATTCCCTTTCTATTATGCTTCTGCGAGTGTCTGGTCTTCTCTTGAATGAGTCAATTGAAGGTGCGGACACCACTGCTTCGGGTAACAGGTTCCAAGTATTGATGACGGTGTGAAAACCTATATGCCACGAGTATTTTGTTCGTTCTTGGCTTTTCTACTCGCCTGCTATGTCCTCTGAGATGTCCCAATCTAGCGGGAAGAAAAAGGGAGAATAAGTTATGTCCTAAATCACATCTCAGTATCCTGTACATCAAAATTAGATCTCCCCTTGATCTGCGATAGGACAGAGTAAAGAAGTCCAGCTTTTAAAGCCGCTCTTTGTATGGTAAACCCCGGAGTTCTGGAATTGCACAGGTAGCTGCCCTTTATACTTCTTCTAGGATATTTGAATCACCTTTTAAACAGGAGCTTGCAGCCTGAACGCAGTTCTCAAGCTCAGTTTCCTCTAAGGATGTGTATACTGTGGTGAACATGGTAGTATCTAACTTAGTGAATGTCCGTTTGAAAGCCCACAGGGTTCGAAACCCCTTAGATGCGACCTCCTGGCAACTAGCCGTCGTCTTAAGACCACGACTCACTGTCACCCCTAGATCCTTATGTGACTGGCCCACGGGTAATGGCACTTCCCCTATGTTGTACCTATTAACCATTGGATCCCCAAAGTGTATATAGATACTTTGCCGCGTTGATAGGCATCAGCCACACTTTAGACCAGTTAGTCACATTATTTAAGTCTGCCTGAAGAGCACATGTATCTGTGTCTCCAGTTGTTAGTTGCCAGATCTTTACACCGCCAGCGTATAATAACATTGGAGACTGTACTATACTTGGAAGATCATTAACATACATCATAAAAAGTAAGGGACCTAGGACGGAACCTGGAGGTACCCCGCTAAGTACTGGTCTCCAGCTGGAGCACTTGGAATTTATTCTTACTTTCTGTCCACGACCTACTAGGAAATCCTTAATCCATTTTAAGAGAGGTCCGGCAATACCAAGGTTTTCCAACTTCAAAAGCGTCTATTAGTTGGCACCTTGTCAAAAGCCTTACTGAAGTCTATGTAGACAACATCCACTAAGTTTTCGTTGCTTGGCGCCTTCATCCAAAACTCCCTTGCTATAAGGAGGTTCGTTGTACAAGACAGACCCTTTCAAAAACCATGTTGTTCTATGTTTAGCAAGTTATTGGTTTCCATAAATGCCATTATGATCCGTCTGACTATGCTTTCCGATATTTTAACTACGACACTGGTGAGGCTTACAGGTCTAGAGTTGAATGGAAGTTGTCTCGGTCCTGTTTTATGTATGCGAGTGATGAGTGCGTCCTTCAAATCCATAGGTAATACACCTTGGTCAAGTGACATGTTGAATATCACAGTCAGTTGGGCCGCAATATATTGTGCAATATGTCTCAAGATTTTGGGGTGTAGTTCATCTGGTCGTGTGGACTTTTTCATGTCTAAGATGCTGAGAGCCTTAAGTAAGAAGGTGGTTTGTTGACACTGTATTTGTGTCTGGTTCTTTGTCTATAGGAGGTTTCTGAGTGAAAACTGCCCTAAAATAATCAGCTATTGCCTCTGCTTTTTCCTGATTTGCCTCTATCATTTCGGATCCACTCCCTTCTTTGATTAGGTTGGGGATCCAATGATGCATCTTTGTTCTGTAGTCTATGTACGAGAATATCCTCTTAGGCTGTTTGAGTGTAGATTGCGCCAACTGCATTTCATAGTTCCCTTAAGCTTCCCGACTTTCAATTATACACGTGGTTCTTGCCGATCTGCAGAGTCCTGCTGTACCAAAACTAATAGCAGCACTCCAACATTTCTTCTTTTGTCTTAGTAAACGTCGAGTATCCCGGCCTGTCCACTGATGGTCGTGCTTCTTCTTCTTTGGGACAGTCCAGGGTAGGTATGGTTGAGTTACCCCACTGTACAACTGCTTGAAATAAGCCCATGTCCCTCGCATTGAAACCCTTGAGTAAATTTTCCAGCTTTCAGCCGATGCGGAGGAGTTGATTGCCCCTATATCGGGCGTCGGCAACTGTTTGACAGGCAATCCAGCCATGAATTTGAATGATATGACTTCATGGTCCTTTCTCCCTAGTGGTGGGGGGGAAGTCATTTGGCCGACATCATCACCGTGTGTGAAGACTAAATCTAAAACAGAAGAAGAGTTTCTTAAGTCATATCTTGTGGGGTTCCCAATGTTTTTGGATAAAGTTAATCCAATCGAGGTTTCTAACAGTTTGCAATCGAATGACGTTATCGATGATATTACTTAGAAATTAACCCAGTTTATATACGGTGCGTTAAAGTCGCCTACTACAAGGCTTTTACTCCTAGTACACCAGGATTTAGTTTTGCCCAGGAGGAAATCACCTACTACATATTCTGCACTGCGATATTCTACAACTAATCCAATATCTTACCGTCTACATTTCAGTTTGCATAGCACCAGTTCACACGTCCCTGAATCATGTGCCACTGTCTCAGCTGCTCGTATGGTTAGGGTACTTTTCGTGCACAGGATAACCCCGCCTGCACTAGGGTTTAATCTGTAGACTTATGGTCTACTATGATATTAGTACTGCTCTAAAAATAGACCTAATCCTAAAATTGTAGATTTGTCATGATGTAACTGCCTAGTCTATGAGATCTTACGTGGAAGTTACATCATCGTCTACACCAACTCACTGTATTGAAACAATTACCAATACATGATGGTGAGCGAGCTTCGGCTAGAGAAAGAACTATACGTTTAATATGAATAAAAGATATAAGATAAAATTCCGCAGGGACCGCGCCTGCATGGCCGAGCCATGCCATCCAATCAACCTCAATTCATTCAACCCCTTGTTCCCGCCTTCTCCATCGCTAGGTATTTCTCCGCGTTAAATATTGAACATCTATGTTCCGAGTAGTCTCGTGTTCAGCTTTGAGGATTATGTGGTTATGGTTCAATACCACTGCAAGTCTATCAGCCTTACAGGATAAAAAAACCCAGTCAACCGAATTTCGTTGTCTAATACTTCTGACGTTAATTGTGTTTCTGAGACAGCAATAACATCCGAGTTTTCTTTACACACCATTATCTTGAGCCCCTCCATTTTATTTAGTAAACTGCGAGCATTTGTGTAACACACCTTCAATTCCGTAGAGAGCTTGCCCTTATCACCCAAAGTGGGTTGAGGATCGTTTCTCTCCGAGCGTTTACAATTTGAACACCCTTAAGGACGAGGTTTCTTCCACCGTTTCGGCGACGCTCATTTAATTCCACTTCTGCAGCTCGTCTCTTAATACGATCAGCTAGGTTGAGATCCTCATGAATATATATTCCGAAACCAATCAGTTTACGTGAATCACCTAGTATCAAGTTTCTTTATTCAGCCGTAACAAATGAAACCTTCAAGAGGCGGCTCCTCTGAGGATTTTCAGAATCCACCTCTTGTCCTATTCTATAAAGCTATACAATAGCAACAACCCAAGAGCTCAGAAAATCAACTACGTACACACTTTGTTCGAGAGAGCGAGGACACATTGCAGCACACTGGCAGCACGAAAAAATGAAGAGAAATACCTGAAGGACGTATTTCAAAAGAACGGCTACCCAATCAACTTCGTCAAAAAATACCAGCTGCACGCGTCATCAGAATCAAAGTCAAGCACAGAAATCAACAAAACGATCACCCTTCCACGCATAAAAGGCATATCACAAAGCACAATGAGACTGTTGAAAACATTCGGAATAGGCGTTGCACACAAAACGACAAATACACTACAATCAATCCTATTCAAACCAAAAGACGAAATGCTAAAAGAAGACAAACCAAACATCGCCTACAAAATATGTTTTGCCAACCGCGAAAAAACACTACATCGGACAAAGCGGACGCCTACATGGACATCAATCAGCAGTCAAACGCCATGACATTCCCTCACGTGGACAACTGGGGAAACTTATTTGACTGGAAAAATTTGGAAACCTTGAGTGGAGGAAATTCCAAAAACACCAGAGAATTTTTAAGAGTTAGGCACTCATGTCAATCAGCAATCAACAAGCACATTAAAATCAATCCAATTTATCAATCAATCAGGAAAATTATTTATAAACATAGGAACAAAGATCAAACCAATGGGAGATACCTTTATGGTCTAATTTAAGTCTAGAGCTAAGCTCATGATAACGCCCTCAACTTCCTTGAAAGCAGGATTCTGTTCATCTGCTGCTGCCTATTTATCAGAGGACGATTTTCTAGCTATGTTTAGCAGCTCGATAGCCTTTAGGATCCGCAGAGACTTGGTAGAACGACGTTCTTTACACAACCAACATGATAATGGCTTGCAGCACCGTTCATATGTAGCCTGTTTTAGTCACGTGCACATATTGTGATACCACTTATTGTAATTATCACATTGCATCCCCTCATCGCCCGGGAAATAGCACGCTGGTCCACCACAGCGATGTTTCAGTTGCGACATAGATTTGTTTTATGTTTATATGTAAATAAAACTTCAAAAAATTTAAAAATGGGACTTCAGTAGTTACAGAAAGATCTTAGCACCTATGGATGCAAATAATCCTCAAAGATATATTCAATGTCGAAGAATAAGTCCCAGTGACTTTAGTTTCTATGCATCTGTACTCGTAAAGTACAAATGATAAACTTCACTAGTTTAAAAGCGATACTTTTGGGGATTACTTTAACTTAAAAATTGGATTCAAGCGAAAACAGT